GAACTAAAACTAAGCATCACAGAGATACTTAATGGGATCTTCTAGACCGAGCACTGAGTCCTAGTCCCATTGGGTTTAGATTTTCTTTAATCTTTACTGGTCTATAGAAGAGCCTCCAGGAACCCCATAGGGATGAGCCCCTAATATATATAGTCCATGGCCTGTTGTGACTTATTTATAAAACTTTTCTAAAAAAGCTCACATGAATAAATTGTCTCAAATCGTATAAAATTAGAAATTATAATCCCTCATTCATAATGATATCTTTGAGCTTTAACATATCTTAGATTAAAAAAATAAACCTATACGAAGACAGTTTTAAAAAGCATCTTAAAAATTAAAAAATATGATTAAATTAAAAAAAAATTATTTTGAATTAAAAAAAAAATTTTTTTAAGTTGTTGATTTTTATCCACCCTATTTTAAAAGCCCTTCCTCTCTCTTGCAGAAAAAAGGAATTTCAAAAAGGGAACTGGCCGAGTATGAAAGGATTTTTTATTAGTCCCTACCAGTGATCTTAAAACAATGATGAGAATGCAGGGCAATGTGGTCCTTGACAGGCTAACTCGTTCAGAGGCATGAGCTTTCATAGGCTACAGCCTACTTCAACACAGGCTCTGAATGGACTTAGAGAGCAGGAATACTAAACAGAAAGGAATAAGGTCATTTAAATACAAAGGGTGAATGCTCCTTCACCTCTCAGAAGTGTTCCCTCTTTTCTGTCCCTTTCCCCTTACATTGTATTTAAATGATCTTATTCCTTTCCACTTAGTAACCCTGTTCTTGGCCAGTCCATTCATAGCCTGTGATGAAGTAGACTATGAAAAATTCATGCCCCTCTGGACCAGTTAATTTATATGGTGCCACACAGCCCTGCTTTCTGCTTAACTTCAGACTAACAGAACAAACTACCTCTCTCTAATGATGAGAATGTTATCATCTGTCATTTTTTCAAACTAAGCATTCTTATGTGAACGAACTCCAACCTTCCCCAACTCCCTGTGTGATGGGAAATTTAAAAAAAAATAGAGAAGAGAGATTTTTGGATATGATCACTACACACCTTTGTCCTCCCCACTGTCCAAGAGGAGCAGCAGAATTAGAAAAGGGTGTCGAGCCTAAGCAGTTACTCTTAAGTTAATTGCAATCGTAATTAATTACAATTTAGGGCAATGTCCTGGGTTAATATTATTAGATTACATTAAAATTAAATTAGATTAAATTCTCCAGGGTTGATCATGGATAATTTCACAGTAACAGCAACCTGCCTGCTTTTTACATCAAAATGGAGGATCCACATACAGAACAACAGAGGAAGTTATTTAATGGCCTTTCTTCACATAATAAAAGTTAATGTTCTCTTGTTGAAAAAGAAAATTACTGAGACTGAACAAGCCCCTGGACTAGAACAGATTTTGATTAAAAACTTATTATTTTTACCAATACTTCTGTCGTGATTAATATAAAAAAGAATCTCAAGCCCCATGAAAGGAACAGATTGCATGTATGAAAGAGTCTAACTTGTAACTTTTACAAATGAACACAGATGAGACATTTTGGGCTGCTTTCAAATTTTGATTTCTTTAAAAAATGACAATGGCACCATTCAAAATATTGCAAGGTAGACACACTCAGGAGACTATCCTGTTTACTAGACCTGTGCAAATACAGAAGTATTTGATTCAGATTCAAATTTAAAGGACAGTGATTCAATTCAGAAATTCAGATCACTGTCCCAAATCAATTTCGCCAAATCAGCTTTGGAAGATTCAGCGCCGATTCATTGAGATTCGGTGATTTGGATCAGCCGGGGAGAGGCAGGGACAGCCAGGCAACTGCAAGTTTTCCTGTGGGTCCTCCAGCTGTGCCTGCCTCTCCCCGGGCAGGGGGAGCCGTGTGAGAATCCCCCATGACTGCCCTGCCTGGCCCCTACCTAGTCCCAGCATTTTAAAGCAAAAAAGCCCCGTACTACAGAATCAGCAACTGGGGCCTCTGGGCGCTCGTGGCAGAGCCCCCCTCAAAGCGCAGGGCAGCGGGGATCACCCCCCACCCCGCACCATGTGGCAGCTGCCCTATGGTGTGGGTGCAGAGTGACTTGGTAGGGCACTGCACACTGCCTGAGAGCTGGGGCCACTGGGGTCGAGTGCTACTGGGCTCTGGCTGACTGCTAGAGCCACCCCAGCATCCAGCAAGTGGAGGGGGAATCCCTGCTGCTCCCTGCTATGCAGGGGGGCTCTGCCACAAGCCCTCAGAGGCCCCCCCAATCACCACTGCCAGAGCCAGTGACTGCGGGGCTTTAAAAAAAATAAAAAAAAAGGGGGGGGGCCAGTAGGCTGGGCTGGGCATGGGACTGGGCAAGGCTGCCATGGGGGCTTCTCCCATGGCTCCTCTGGCTGTGCCTGCCTCTGCCCCGGGCAGTTGGTGAGGGGGGGCATGATGCAAGCATGGCTTTTTCCAGGGGGTCGCCAAGTTGGGGAAGGGGGGATAAAAATCCCTCCAAGACCCCAGACAGGATTTGCCCTGGGGGGCAGTCCTTCTCAGGCTGTTGCCCCCCCCCCCCCCCCCCTCCCCCCCTGCTCCTGGCTGGGCAAGCGGCAGCAAGGCAGAGTCCCACTCCCAGCACTGCCACACCCACATCCCATGCCCCCCTGCCCTGGCTGGGCAGCTTGTCCCAGCTCCAACCCATCCTTCCCTCCCCTGCACCCTCTCTCCCTCCCTCCCCCAACCCCAACAGACTTACCAGCTGGAGGCAGCTGTTAGCTGCCTGTTTAGTCTATAGCTAAATCTCTGAATTGGCCAAATCTTTTCCAAATTGATTCGGAGCTTTTGCTTAGTCTCCCGATTCAATTTGGATTCGGAGATTCGGTCCCCAAATCGGGCCAAATCTCCTTCAAATCGAATCAGCTACCAAAGCTTCGCACAGCCCTATTGTTTACCTCTCCCCACTGCTTCTTTTTTTTTTTTTTTTTTTTTTTTTTTTAAGTTGGAGCGATGCAAACAGTCTAATCACTGAATAAAAAACACACCTACAGCACCAGCACAGAAATCCACCACCCTGTTTCTAAAACATCAATCAGAGGACAAGAAGGAGATGAGGTATATCATGAGTACAAGGAGAAAGATGACCTTCTGGGATGCAAGATCTCCAGGACTAGTAGATAAGTCTGTTATCAACTATCATAAACAGATTTTGCACTCAGATAAGAATCTGGCAGCTGAAAAGCTTAGAGCCACAAAGGATGAGCATTATCCCCGTTTTGCAGAGAGGCTACTGAGGCATAAAATATTTAATGCGACTTGCCGAAGGTCACACAAACTAGAACAAGAGGGGCCCACATCTTTGGCAGCTGTCTCACAAGATAAACCAGCACCTTGTGCTACTCTGATCCCCTTCACCTGTCTGATTTGTTGGTCTGCTTTCTGCTCTCTACTGTACCTGACACTGTTGCCTGCTACCTTCCTGATCTGCCATGTGTCACACACAGAGGCCACTTACAGTAGGTTGGATATCCCTGAACTACAGGCAGGGAAACAAAGCAGTTCTTCTAGGTTCTAGCCTCACCCTCAACCCACACAGCCAGGTATCAGAATAAACCTTCTGTGGGTATGGAAATCCAAAAATTATACTGAGGTAAAAGCTGGGGAATAACTACAACGATTATCACAATTTGGTGTTAATGGTTTCATGTGTCCATTCCTATCACACAATTTAGCTTCCACTTTCAATGGGAAAGGATAGGACACATGAAGCCATTGCCACAGAATATCTGACCTAAGTCCTTCTCTCTTATGTTGTTTGTTCTTCATTTGTCCATATTGCACGATCGCCAAGTGCTTCTTCACAGTTCCATCTTTAAAGGAAGAACGAGTTATGTTTTACCCAATGAAAATGTCTACAGCAAGCCTCAACAAAGGCTTATTCAGCAAGTCAGAGGCAGAGCTGGGAATGAAATAAAGGTGCGCTGAAGACTTACTCACTAAGCAACAGTGCCTCCTTCGTACAGAAACAGAGTGAATGGTTATGTTTCAGGCCTTGGAAAAGCTGTACCTATCCTTTTACATGCCAGTTACTGGGGAGTTGCAGATGGACACCAAGAGAATACCTTCCAAACTGTCACCTTTCTTAATGCTTATCACCATCACTTGCTCTGGGCTTACAGAGAAACCAATGGTAAAGATGTAAACTGTCCGACTTTCCTGAGATTCTAAATAGAAGAGACCTGCTATGTCATCTTGCCCACTTCTTTTTTATTTTTGCAATTCAAGAACTGTCCCGCTATGGTTTTAGAGCACTTGGTCCAATCCAATTTACATTACAAGGCTACCACCAATTTGCCTATTATAGAAGGAAAAAATGCAAAAATATTAACAGTGCTGCCAATCTCCTCTAATCCTTTGTTACTGAAGGAAATATTTTGGTATTTGTACTGCCTCACAAGGCCAATAAGCCATGCTTTTAAGAAAGAAAACCTTTAAATAACTATCAATCCATTTCAACAATTTGGTGTAGCTATTTAATTTTAGCTTCATCTCTCTGGCTTTTAGAATGCTGCATTAATCCTACAGAGCTAGCAGTATTGACATCCTCTGAAACCTAGTTAGTAAGTTAAAAAAAAAAAAGATTAGGGGAGAAGATCAAAGAGTACAAGGCACGTGATACAGATTACACTAGCCTAGAATTTAATCAGCACATGAATATCTGCATCCACCACTGCATTTGCTGAATCGGTGTGTGTTTTTGGTGAGTTCAAACAGAGACCACTACCAACACACACAAAAATTTCAAGCAATTTCAGGTGACAAACCCCGATTTAAGCCATGAATATTTTCAAACTGCTGTCCGTTTTTCAATCTATCTTGTCTCTCTTTCCCGGCTACAGAACATTACACGAGAAACCCAGATGATTTATTTTAATATATGGCTGAGGTCATAAAATGTTAGGAACTAAACACATTATACAAATGAATAGAAATGCAGGAAGGAAGCAAACAGATATTACCTGAAGAGAACCATTGCAAGCCGACAAGGAGGACAGGCAAGGAGAAAAATCTGAAATAGTAAAACAAAAAGTTAGCACTATAGTTAAGTTATTTTTCTACACTCTTTTTTCCTGCTCTCCCAGGAAGCTTCAGTAAGTTAATTAGTACAGGAAGACCTGCATCTACCACTGAGTTTGCTGAAGGACTGTTTCAGATTACAGCAAAACTTTGTAGTAGAAAAAGGCTGAGCAGCATGAACAAGCCATAGGTCTCATATCTCCCATGCAGAGATTTGAGCAGGAGCACCCTCTACAACTGAACTTCCCTCAAGCCCATGCAGCTTAAGTCTGAGGTCTCAACATACCTGTAGAGCCATGTATTATAAAACAGCACAAGAGCTCTTGTCAAAGCGGATAACTACATCAATTAATTCAACCATAGTAGCTCCCAACAACCCCAGTCAAGCTCAGCACCATCTTGGGCTAAATACTTTACATGTTTCCATGTGTTTACAATGGCAAGCTCCAGTTCAGCAGTGCAAGATCAAGCTCTTGAAGATCTAAAGTATCAGGGTTGCCCTTAAAAGCTTGCCAAGGCTTACTAAATATGGTTACCTTGATATTTTCACTATGGATAACCTTCATTACCAGTCACCTTTAGACATGCCAACTGGCTTGTCTAACTGCCTTTCCAAAGCCCTGGTATGAAATACAGAAGTAATTAGTTATTCATCACCCAAGGCCAAAGGTAATGTAATGCCCCTGGAACAGTATGTGGTTGGATCTGCTGTTGGGCCACACATGCCAAACAAGATCTAGTTTGGATCTCTATGTAATGTAGAGATTGAACAGAGATGATATCTCTTACAACTGTGAGGGACTAAATAAAAATACTCTGATCTTCAAACCTCTTAATTCCAACTGGTCAGGTCTTTGAAGCAATACATCTTAAGCAGAATACAAAACATTTACACAAGCATTGAGAAAACAAGTCCAGTTTCCACTGCCTACTGTAATAAAAATGTATTATAACAGCCTGGGACGGCTCTTTAAAAAAATAAAAATAAAAACTCAGCTTTATTACCGTGACCTACGGGAAAGGGTACGCAAAGTGTTGGGGGAAATAAGAGTGTGCTTTCTATTTGCTTAGAAGTAAGTTTGTCTCTATCGCCCCCGCCTCCAAAGAGATGCCAAGTCTATTCAAACAAACGTACTTCTCTCCTCTGGTGCAGGACATGCATTGTAGATGGACCTGACTGATGTCCAACTTAATTACTACCAGATCATGCTAGTGCTAAAGGAACAGCAACAGGAGAAATATTAAAGTTGGTCCTTGCTTTGACTCTAAAGGACTCTTATCCTTGGTTCTGTGCACACGATTTGCAGAGCAAATATTTTGATTCTAGTACTTCTTAATATGGTTATTTACATGCAGCTAGATAAATAAACTAGAGGTGCACCGATATATCGGTTGCATATTGGATTGCCACCAATAAAAGTGAAAATTACATTATTGGCTATTGGCCTTTTTTTGGCTACTGCAATCAATAATCTTCATAGTTTCATAGTTGGTAGGGTGGGAAGGGACCTGAGCAGAACATCAAGTCCGACCCCTTGCCATGGCAGGAAAAAGTACTGGGGTCAAAGGACCCCAGCGAGGTGTTCGTCTAACCTCCTCTTAAAGACCCCCAGGGTAGGAGCCAGCACCACTTTGCTTGGAAGTTGGTTCCAGGTCCTAGTCACCTTGGCTGTGAAGTAGCGCCTCCTGATGTCTAGCCTCTGCCAGCTTGTGACCGTTATTTCTAGTCACTCCTGGTAGTGCTCGGGGGAACAGGGACTCCCCCAATACCTGCTGGTCCTCTCTGACTAGTTTGTAACAGGCCACTAGATTCCCCTCCCTCAGCTGTCTCTTGTGGAAGCTGAACAGATTCAGGTCCCTTAGCCTCTCCTCATAGGGCCTGCCC